AGTTGGAGTCTTACTCTGTCACCCAGACTGGAGTGCAGTGGCCGCTCCCAGTCACTGCAGCCTCAACCTACTGGGCTCTGGCGACCCTTCCGCCTAAACCTTCCAAGTAGCTGGAACTACAGGCGTGTGCCACCACACCCGGCTAATTTTTTGATTTATTGTAGAGATGAGGTCTTGACAAGGAGCCCAGGCGGGTCTCAAACCCGTGGGCTCAGGCAATCCACTCACCTCCACCTCCCAAAGCGGGATTACAGGCTGAGCCACTGAGCCTGGCTTACATTGTGTATTTCAAAGAATAGAAATTTCAGAGTATGAAGTCTAACGTAACAATATTTTCCCTTTATGGTTAACTCATTTTGTATACAAGAAATCTTTGCTAACTCAACATGATGAAAATATTCTCCTATGGTTTATTCTAGAAGCTTCATAATTTTAGCCTTTACATTTAGTTCCATGATCCATTTCAAATGAATTTTTATGTATTATGAGATAGAGATAGATATTCATTGTTTCCTTCAGATATCCAGTTGATTCAGCACCACTGTTGATAAGGCTTTCTTTTCTTTATTGACTTACCTGGACAACTTTGTCAAATTGACAAAATATGATTAATTTCTGAACCCTATTCTGTTCCATTGGTCTATTTATTTATGTTTTAACCAATAGTATACTTTCTTGATAACCATAGCTTTATAATAAATCTCAGTATCAGATAGGCTAAGTTGTACAACTTTTTTTCTTTCTCAAGATTGTTTTGGTTATACTAGATCCTTTAATTTTTAAATAAATTTTAGAATCATTTTGTCAGTTTTTAGAAAAAAATACTAAATGTTATTTTTTATGGAACAGTGTTAAAGATATAAATCATCTTTGTGGAATGTTGACACTAAAAATACATGTTATAAACCATAAACATAGTATATTATTCCATTTATTTAGTATTCTTTAATTTCTCAACATTTTTATTGTAGAACATTCCATTTACACTTGAAAATAAAGTGTAATCAGTAGTTGTTAGGTGGTGTTTTACAAATGCTAATTAGGTTAAGTTGGTAGATAAGCTATTCAAATTTTCAATATGCTTACTGAGTTTCTGTATTATTCTATCAATTACTCAAAAATGTTAAGATCTCTGATATGATTGTAGATTTGTCTTTTTCTCTTTAGTTCTGTTGGGTTTTTTAAATGTATTTTGAAGCTCTGTTAAATTGTTATTTCTTCTTAATGAATTGACTGACCCTCTTTAACTTCGTTAGTAGTAGTCCATATTTTGACATCTACTTGATATTAACATAGCCGTACCAGCTTTCTTAATGTTGGTGTCTTCATAGTTTATCTTTTACATCTTTTTACTTTCAAATTATGTGTGCCTTTATATTACAAACGCATCTCTTGTGAAGAGTTTATGCTTGTAACTTAATTTTTTAAGCCAGTCTATAATTTCTCCCTTTTGATTGCATTGTTTAATCTATTTATATTTAATGTAACTGTTGATATTTTGAAGTTTAAGTCTACCATCAGAATATTTGTCTTATATTAGTTCCTTTTGTCTTTTTGCTTTCTTCTTCCTTTTCTATCTTCTTTTAGGCTGAGTTTGTTGTTGTTCCATTTGATTTCTTCCTTTGTCTTTCTAGCTATATCTATTTCTATTTTTTTTTAAAGTCACTCTAGGAATTTCAATATATTACTTTAACTTATCACAATCTATCTTCAATTATTATACTTGTTCATGTAAAATATAAGAACCTTATAATAAAAGGCTGTTACTGAGATATATATCTTACTGTATATATGCTATAACACCCCAAACATATTGTTTTTATTTTAAAGTGTCAATTGACTTTAACATAATTTTAAAAAAAGGACTCATCTATTTACCCATATATTTTCTATTTCCAGTCCTTCCCAATATCATTTCCTTTCAGCTTTAAGAACTTTCTTTAGCATTTCTTATAGTGTGAGTCTGCTGTAAACGAAGTCCTTCAGCTTTTGTTTATGTGAAAATTTATTTCATCTTTTGATTTTTGAAAAATATTTTCGCTAGATATAGAATTTTTGCTCAACAGTTTTCTTCAGTGCTTTAATTATGCCTTCTACTTTTTTTTTTACTAACCTCCGTTATTTCTAATGTTTAAAAAATCAATAATCATTCTCATCATTGATCTTGTATATTTAATGTAACTTTTTTCTGTCTGCTTTTAAGAATTTGTTTTATTTGTACTTGGTTTTCAGTAGTTTGACTATAATGTCTTCTGTTGTATTTATCCTGCTTGAAGTTTGCTGAGTTTTCTGAAACTTTGAGTTA